ATGATTTGGTATAGCCCCCATATAAAGGTACCTCCCGATATTCGGTATTTTAGGTTTTTTTTTTTTGCCACATTTTTTCACGGATTTGTCTAAAAATTGGTATTTGTGGGTCATAATGGGTTCCAGCTCCGGTGGCGAAACATTGCATGTATGGGTCCATGATTTGGTATAGCCCCCATATAACGGTACCTCCCGATATTCGGTATTTTATTTTTTTTGCCACATTTTTTCACGGATTTGTCTGAAAATTGGTATTTGTTGGTCATAATGGGTTCCAGCTCCGGTGGCGAAACATTGCATGTATGGGTCCATGATTTGGTATAGCCCCCATATAAAGGTACCTCCCGATATTCGGTATTTTAGTTTTTTTTTGCCACATTTTTTCACGGATTTGTCTAAAAATTGGTATTTGTGGGTCATAATGGGTTCCAGCTCCGGTGGCGAAACATTGCATGTATGGGTCCATGATTTGGTATAGCCCCCATATAACAGTACCTCCCGGAATTCGGTATTTTGATGGTTTTTGCCACATTTTTTTCACTGATTTGTCTAAAAATTGGTATTTGTGGATCATAATGGGTGCTAGTTCGTGTGACGAAATATTGTAATTATAGGTCCACGTTTTGGTATAGCCCCCATATAACGGTATCTCCCGATATTCGGCATTTTAATGGTTTTTGCCACATTTCTTCTAATGTTTCTTTTACCCTAAGGTGGAGGGTATGAAAAGTTTGGCCCGGCCGAACTTAATGTTTTTTTACTTGTTGAAAAATAATGTGCCTCCGAAACAATGTATCGTTTCGGTTTTTCAATGTATGCGTGGGTCCTAAGTGCGACAATTTAGCTTACTTACCAACGGAACTGACGGCGCTTCTTCCAAAATCCATATGCATTCTGCAGCATTACCACGTTTTTCAAAGTAATATGTTCGAATTTTTTTTCTAACGTTTACAGACTCATATTAGTTCAGCGGAATGATAAAAGTAATTGTATTTCAAAGAAGACATGAGCTAAGTGTTACCATTCATAGAATAAGCGATAGTTGAAAAAAAAAACGTTGGATTGCACACATGTGAGGACCCGGTTGCAGAATATGGTCTATATAGGTTTACGATTTTATATAGCACCTATATTATGGGGCCTCTGGATATCGATACATTCACGGGTTTATTCACATGTTATACCCTCAGCCATATGGCTCATATGCCTCATTGAAATAACAGTTTTAGACCCTAGGTCTCCTTGGACCAAATCCGTTTCAGGACATTTCGAGTCGCTCTAGCGATGTCCGTCAGTCCATCTGTCTGTCTCGTTGGTGCGCACAATAACTCTCGAAAGGAAAATCCGATTTGATAAAAACTTGGTACATTATAATATTTTTTACCAAAGTCAGATCAAGTTCGGAGATAGGCAATATCGGTCTACTCCTTCTGGTACCTCCCTAACAAATTTCAAAATTTAAGAACAAAAAATTTTTACTGCACAGAAAGGGAAAGGATAATCCGATTTTGCTCCAAATATTCAAATCCTAATATTTGCATCAGTGCTAGGTCAGGTTCGAAAATGTACACTCCATCATGTACCTCCCCCACAAAGGGTCAAAATTTGGCATATTCATGAAGCTCATAAAAAGCGAAATTGACATCCAATTCCATTCGAACTTGGCACATCTCAATATTTCTACCAGCACAAAATCTGTCATAAAGATGGTAGATATCAAACCATTCCCTCTGGTACCTCCCACACAAAGGGTCAAAGTTTTGAATAACCAAAAAGATTATAAAATCCGAAATAACTTTCGGTTATCGTCATATTTCACATACTCCATATTTATACCCTCCATCATACATACAGGGTGAGATCAAAAAATTGCAACCAACTTCAGACTGCTGTCATTTTTAAGCCACTCGTCCGACAGCTGTTAACATTATTCCAGTGACAGCTCATTATATTGTTTACAAGCGCACAAAAGCATTTTGGTGGGAATTTTCCAGAAAAAAAGGTATTCCTGATGGAATTCAAGCGTGATATCTTTATATTTGGATGGAAAACCATAAGTGGCTATCGTTAGACCACTCCAGCATTTAAATGTGAATAAATCTTTTGTGTCTCGTACCATCGCTCTTTACAGTGATACTGGTAGCGTAGCCCAACATCAAGAAAGTGGACGGAAGAAAACAGCAACATCAGCAGAAATGGTTTGAAAAGTAAAGATGCGACTTGTTCGAAACCCGCATCGCAGTGGCCGAAAAATGACTCGTAAGCTGAACATATCACAATATTCAATTCGGTAAATATTGAAAAATGAGCTCGGGTTAAAGCCATTGAAATTCCAAAATGTGGAAGAACTTACACCGCAACAGAAAGAAAATAGACTCAAAAGAGCTAAAGAGTTACTTCGCTTGGCCGAAAGTGGTAAACTGCCGAATTTGGTTTACTTCGATGAGAAAACATTCGTTGTCCAGCAAACAAAATGATCGTGTTTACTTGCCAAATAGGTCAGCTGAAATGTGCACCTTCGGTTGGCCAACAGAACTCAAGCGCCGGCCATGGTGATGGTGTGGGCCGCTATAACAGCCGATGGTCGCTCTCCGCTCGTATTAATCGACCGTGGCATCAAAATAAATGTCGAATATTATCACGAAAATATTCTGGAGGGTGTATTAAAGCCTTGAGCACGCAAACATTTTGGCCACAGACCTTGGACATTCCAACAGTACTCAGAACTATCGCACTCACCACGCGCCACCCAAGCATGGTTACAAAATGAGGTTCCTCGCTTCATTTCCAGCGTACAATGGCCTTCAAAATCTCCGGATACCAATCCGTTGGACTATTGTGTCTGAAGTATTTTGGAAAGCAAGGTTGTCACTAAAAAAAATAACAAAGTGTCGATCACCTCAAGCAAGCGCTTCACCGGGAATGGGCCAAAATACTGCTGAGCAACATTCGGGCAGCGTGTGACGGTTTTATTGGCCGTTTGAAGGCCATAATTCGTGTAAAAGGTGACCAATTCAAATAAATCTAAATTTATTGTAAAATTTGATTCTATTCCCGACATTTTTTGCTTCCATTCAATAAAATTTAAAAAAAAGTAATGGCGTTTGACTTTGTTGCAGTTTTTTTTATCTCACCTTGTATCTTCAACCGAATTCAGGAATTTTGGAACATGCGACTGAATTCAGTCTAGAAGCAAGTACATCAAATTTGGTGAAAATTGGTTCAAATATAACTATAGCTCCCATATATTTGTTTTATCCGATTTAGTCTTTAAGTCCCTCACTTTCGCAATATTCGATTCGACAAAAAAGATAATTGGTACCAGATATCTTATAGAGCTCGGAAATACCTTTGCAAATTTGTTTGAGATTGGAATCGGATTTGGATATATGGGAGCTATATATATCTTCAATCCGATTTCAGATTTTTTGTGCAAATAATGGTTAATATCAGCCCAAATGGAGTGAATTTCGGGAGGTAGTCGGCTCAGATATATATTTAAATAAATTGTTTTCTTACGGGAGATCTACTAAATATGCATTATGGTGTAGGGTGTCATATAGTCGGTCCCGCCCGACTTTTGGTCTTTTCTTATTGGTTTTTATCTGCATTAGATGAAATATGACAATTAAATACTTCGGTCGACTATAACTGGTACCTCGCGCACATTTAACATTTTCTCAAAAATGAAAAAGTGAAGGAAGTAACCAATGGAGTCCAAACCTGGCACGTCGCAATATTTATATCATGTTCGGTTAGCTCCGATACGAAATGGACAATAATGGCCCATTCCGCTGGAACTTACTCCATAGAAAATCAACAATTTGAATAATCATTACAGAAGTCAAAATATAAGGATGAGATGAAAAAACTGCCACCAACTTCAGACTTCTGTTAAAATTATTCCAGTGAATGGGCAGCGTATGACGGTTTCATTGGCCATAATTCGTGCCAAAGGTGACCAATTCGAACAAATCTAAACTTATTCTAAAAATTTGATGCTATTTCCAACATTTTTTGCTTTCATTCAATAAAATTTAAAAAAAAAATGTAAAAATTATGGCGTTTGACTTTGTTGCAGTTTTTTATCTCACCCTGTATTTAAATAGTCGAACATTGGCTGAGGGTATACATCTGTGGGCAAAACCGACTGAAACTTTTTAACTGGTCAATGTTCCTAAATTTTTTTTGTAAATTTTTCTAAGAGTTGGCCCCCCGAAATGTAAGGTACACAAATGCCGGAAAAGTGGTCATTTGGCCTCATGGACACCCTACGAACTACCCTGAAATGAATTTATTTATCATTTTACCCTAGGAATATCCCAACTGGAAATTTGACTATATTACTGTCCAATGGAAAACGCTTCTGGGCAGAAAAACCCAGTACTTTTTCTGATACAATTAAAAATTATTAATTAATCACCCATCTCATCAATAACTTAACAAGGTATCGCCCGGATTTTCATTACTACTAATTGATTTCTAAATGATTATCAAACCCCATATGAACGTGGCACGCAACGTCACAAATTTACAAATACACCTCATTTCCATTCCCAGTGACCCGGACGTCATTAAAGCCACCTACGAAAAAACCACATCAAAGAGCTGATTCACTCTGGGGCATTTTTCGTCTCTCAATATTCTCAGTGTTGGAGGAGAAGAAATTCTAGTTGAGACGATGCCGATGGAAGACGTTGCACTTTTGTATTGAAAATTCTAAATTGAATATATTTCTTGTTGTTGTTATTATTATTTTCATTTTGTTTTATTCAACAATGATGCCCGGTATTCAGTGGGAATCGTGTTGTGTTAAGTTGTTGGTTGAAACAAAAAAAAAACGTTAGAACTTCCATTTTCAAATAATATTCTTTTGTAAGGGTTTTCCCACATTTCTATGCAAAATTCCAAATAACCGGGCAGCGGTGTAAAGGTGGAGTCCAGCTTGTCATTGTGGTTGTTGTTGCTGTTTGTAATCTTGCCTAGTTATGAAGTGTGAATAGAGAAGGAATATCGCACTCTGTCTGGGAGTCTGGGTTAATTATCGTGAAATCAAACTTGTCTCTCCGACTATAAATTGCCTGTGTAATCTTTTGGCCTATTGCAATTGCATTTCGAACATGGCTCGAACGATTAGGGGTCGTTGTGCTGTTGGCACAAAATACAAATTATGGCTGAAGACGGCAACAATTCTGATGATCTTGGGATCCAACCAAATGGGTAAGAAGTTCAGGAGGAATTTGTAACCAATGCATCTAATGTCTAAATTTCCATTAAATTTCAGTCTCCGCTGGTGGTTATGGTGGCGGAGGTGGTTACAGTGGAGCCTCAGCTTCTGCCTCGGCAATTGCTAGCAGCTATTCATCTGGTGGTGGAGGAGGTGGGTGTAGTGGTGGCTGTCCCGGTAGCGGCGGCAGTGGTGGTGGTGGTGGCGCCAATCCCTTTTTGCCCGGAGGCGGTGTCAGCATCCACAAGGAGATTAACTTGAATGGCCTCAAACAGGGTATATCTGGAGTTATTGGTGGTATTTTGGATGGCGTTGGCAAGCTACATGGATCAGCTGGAGGATTACATGGTGGCATTGGAAAAGGTGGAGGCTTTGGCGGAGGTTTTGGTGGAGGAGCCGGTGGTGGTGGTGGCGGCGGTGCTTCGGGTCCTGGCTGCTCCTCAGGTAATTGTGGTGGCAAATCGAATCCATTTTTGCCAGGTGCTGCCGGTACTTATGCTGGAGGCTCTGTTGGTGCTGGTATTTTAAATGGTGGTCCCGGTAAGCCCATCAAAAAACCTGACTTATCGTATGTTCCTCCTGGGTCAGGAAATCAACCTGGCGGCTGGCAACCCGGCTCTGATCCCAATTTAAATTCAGTTGGCAGCCCTTCGGATTGGCATCCTGGTGTAAACCCCAATCCCACATGTTCTGGAGGTAATTGTGGTGGTCCCGGCAGACCAAATGGTAAGGGACCGGTACAATTCCCCAATTCGGGTGGACAACAACCAGGGCCTAGTGGACCTGGTGGTTATGGCGGTGGTGCTGGTGGTGGTGCCGGAGGAGGAGCAGGTGGAGGTGGTGGAGCTGGCGGTGGTGCCGGAGGAGCTGGTGGTTTAGGCGGCTATGGTGGAGGTCCCGGCAGTCCCGGCAGTCCCGGAGCACCTGGTGGACACGGTGGTCCAGGTGGTTATGGCGGAAGTCCAGGAGGACCTGGTGGACATGGTGGTCCAGGAGGTTATGGCGGAAGCCCAGGAGGACCTGGTGGTCCCGGAGGATATGGCGGAGGTGGTGGTGCTGGTGGTGGCGGCGGAGCTGGTGGTGGTGGAGGTGCAGGTGGTGGTCCAGGCCGTCCTGGTGGTCAAGGAGGACACGGTGGATTTGGCGGTGGCCCAGGAAGTCCAGGTGGACCTGGTGGTTATGGCGGTGGAGCCGGGGGCGGTGGAGCCGGGGGCGGTGCTGGTGGTGGAGGAGGTGCTGGCGGTGGTGCCGGAGGTGCTGGTGGTTTAGGCGGCTATGGCGGTGCACCGGGTAGTCCCGGTAGACCAGGTGGTCCCGGGGGATATGGCGGAGGTGGAGGTGCTGGTGGTGGCGGCGGAGCTGGAGGCAGTGGAGGTGCTGGTGGTGGTCCAGGCCGTCCTGGTGGTCAAGGAGGACATGGTGAATTTGGCGGCGGCCCAGGAAGTTCAGGTGGACCTGGTGGTTATGGTGGTGGTTATGGTGGTGGAGCTGGTGGAGGAACCGGTGGAGGAGCTGGTGGAGGAGCTGGTGGAGGTGGTGGTGCCGGAGGTGGTGCCGGAGGTGGTGCCGGAGGTGGTGCCGGAGGTGGTGCCGGAGGTGGTGCAGGCGGTGCTGGTGGATTGGGAGGTCATGGAGGATTTGGCGGTGGTCCCGGTAGCCCTGGGGGATCTGGAGGCCCAGGAAGTCCTGGAGGACATGGTGGTCCAGGTGGTTATGGCGGAGGTCCTGGCAGTCCCGGAGGACCTGGTGGTCCAGGCGGTTATGGTGGAGGTCCAGGCAGTCCTGGAGGACCGGGTGGTCCAGGTGGTTACGGCGGTGGTGGCGAAGCCGGTGGTGGTGCTGGTGGCGGTGCTGGTGGCGGTGCTGGCGGACATGGAGGTTATGGCGGTCGCCCAGGTGGCCCAGGAGGATATGGTGGTGGAGCTGGTGGCGGTGCTGGTGCAGGAGGTGGTGCTGGTGCAGGTGGTGGTGCTGGTGCTGGTAGTGGTCGTCCTGGAGGTCCTGGAGGACATGGCGGCTTTGGCGGTAGCCCAGGAAGTCCTGGTGGTCCAGGCGGCTATGGCGGTGGAGCTGGAGCTGGAGGCGGTGCTGGGGAAGGAGGTGGAGGCGGTCATGGCGGTAGCCCCGCCGGATCTAAAGGTTATGGCGGTAGCCCTGCAGGGCCTGGTGGTTATGGTGGAGGTGCTAGCGGTGGTGCCGGTTCAGGAGGACCCGGTGGTTACGGCAGTGGCCCAGGAAATTCAGGCGGCTACGGCGGTAGCCCAGGAGGAGCCGGAAAGCCCTGTACATCCGGCTTGTGTGGTTTCGATGGCAAAGGATTGGGTGGCCTAATCCCTAACTTTAGTGGCGCTGGAGCTTTCAGTGGTGCTAGCGCTTCAAGTTTTGCCTCAGCTGGTAGTGGTTCTTTTGGTTTTGGTTTCCCGGGTGGTGCAGGTGGCGGCGATGGAGGCAGTAGTGCCCCAGGCGGAAGTTGTGCCAAATGTGCAGGTGGCGGCAAAGGTCATTCTGGAGCTTATGCAAGTGCCTCGGCTTCATCTTCGGCATATGCCAGAAGCTATTAGGAACAAAGTCTAAAACATTTCTCAACAAAAAATAGAAACAACAACAATACTCCCAAGTATATACATAGGTAATATATATTTGTTTGTATGTATGTAGTTAGAATATAATTAAGTTTGTTATTTTATTTTGTATATACGTGTGTATATTTTTGTGTATGTGCATGTATGGAAGAGAGATCTATAGAAGTTATTGCTTAGATTAAGTCAATTAAATGTCATTAACAATAAAGAAGATGAAATTGAAAAAAAAAGGTTTTGTCATTCAACTCGTAAGGGCGGTTGGAGGCGTGTGGCTAATTAGAGGCAGCTAACAAGTATTGAATGGATAATCTAAAGAGAAAAACTCTAGCAAGGTAGTTTCAAGCAAGTAGATTCAAGGCCACATATTTTGATACAAGGAAATTCTCCAATCGATCTGTCATATCCAATTTGAGTAGGGAATTAAGTTTCCCAATTTTCCATAGACTTCCCCACATTTTCAATATTTATTTTCCATCACATTTTTTACATTTTCATTTTGGACTTGCACTTGGAATGCATCATCATCATTTTCATTTTGCCACCATGTTTATGGCCCATCTTTTTGCCTGCATGACTATGGGCGTGTTTTGTTGTTGGCTTGACTGTGGTAGAGGTACGTACCCTCGTGGGCTGTTTCATTGTAGGCAATGTTGATGGTGCCAAATGATTCCACATTCCTTGTCCTTCACTATTTTGTGGATAATTGGGTGTTTGTATTATAGTCGGATCAGTTGCCATTATTTCCCAAATATCTTGAGCCCATATCAAGTCAATGGCCAAAATCAAAGCTGAAATAGAGGGAGAGCCAAATAAATGAAGACAGATTTTTTTCTTCAAAATTTTACTCACCAATGATGCTGTGGATTAAATTGAAATTAATATTTCTGAAGAAATTCATTTTTTGCCTAAATATCCAACTTCTTGTCCCAATGAGCTACTCTGAAGCAACTGATGCTATAGTTTGAAGTGCTGACTCGATTTCAAAAATTTGTTTATTTACTCAAGTGATTCTTATTTGATCTACTTACGGTGAAGCAGTTACTTTCAGTTTTTTTATTTATTTAAATCCAGATTTAATAAAGTAACAGACCCTGCACCATGGTATGGAGAGTATATTAGTTTTTTTGTTGCTCTTGTAACTTATAGAAAAAGTTGGTAGGATGTGATTGTGTATATGTAGTGAGATAAAATAAAAATCAACGAAGTCAAACGGCAGAATTTTTACATTTTTTTAATTTTATTGAAAGAAAGCAACCAATGTCGGAAATAGCATCAAATTTTAGAATATGTTTAGATTTGTTCAAATTGGTCACCTTTGGCACGAATTGTGGTCTTCAAACGGCCAATGGAACCGTCTCACGCTCCTCGAATGTTGCTCTCCGGTATTTTGGCCCATCCCCTTACTTGAGGTGATCGACACTTTGGTATTTTTTAGTGCCAACATTGCTTTCCAAAAAAAAAACTCCAAACACAATAGTCCAACGGATTGGTATCCGGAGATTGTGGTGGCCATTGTGCGCTGGAAATGAAGCGAGGAACCTCATTTTGTAACCATTCTTGGGTGACGCGTGCTGAGTGCGGTGGTGCTGAGTCCTGTTGGAATTTCCAAGGTCTGCGGCCAAGATGTTTGCGTGTCAAAGGCTTTAATACACCCTCCAGAATATGTTCGCTATAATATTCGGCATTTATTCTGATGCCACAGTCGATTAATGCGAGCGGAGAGTGACCATCGGCTGTTATGGCGACCCAAACCATCACTATGGCGCTTGTGTTCTGGTAGCCAACCGAAGGTGCACATTTTTAGCTGACCTCTTTGGCAAGCAAACACGATCATTTTGTTTGTTTACAAATTGCTGGACAACGAATGTTTTCTCTTCGGAGCAAACCAAATTCGGCAGTTCACCACTATCGGCGAAGAGAAGCAACTCTTTAGGTCTTTTGGGTCTGTTTTCTTTCTATTGCGGTGGAATTTCAATGGCTTTACCCCGAGCTAATTTTTCAATATTTGCCGAATGGCATATTGTGATATGTTCAGCTCATAAGCCATTTTTCGGCCACTGCGACGCGGGTTTCGATCAAGTCGCTTCTTTACTTTTCAAACCATATCCGCCGATGTTGCTGTTTTCTTCGGTTCAATTCCTTGACGTCGAGCTACGCTACCAGTATCACAGTAACGAGTGATGGTACGAGACACAAAAGATTTATTCACATTTAAATGCTGGAGTGTTCTAACGATAGCCAATTGGGGGTTTCCAGCCAAATATAAAGGAAGCCCACTATCACGCTTGAATTCCATCACGAATAACTTTTTTTCTGGAAAATTGTCACCAAAATGCTTTTGTACGCTTTTAAACAATATAATGAGCTGTCACTGGAAAAATTTTGACAGCTGTCGGAAGAGTGGCTTAGAAATGACAGCAGTCTGTAGTTGAATGCAGTTTTTTTATCTAACCCTGTATATTTCAAGAAATTCTACCAAAACTATAGCCCATACCGTGTGTGGCTATATTGGATAAGACGTTAGACATATCAGAAGAAATAACCTTTCTGCAAGGTATATTCCCATCTCAGTCACTATTCGAACTGTTGACTCTTTATGTGAGAGGTATCTGATATAAGTTTGATATAAATATTACAACATGTCAGATTTGTACTATATCGAAGTTGTCGACTTTTTATGAGATATGTGATAATTTTCTATATAGGGTACCGAAGTGTTCCATTTAATCTAACATTGATAAATGATTTATTTCACATTCACAACCGATACCTGGTTAAGGGAAACATTTTAGTGCAAATGTTAACCTTTTAAGGGGGAGGTACCAGAAGGAGTGGACCCATTTTCGAAATCGATCTAAGTTTGACGAAGTCCAAAGTCATCGTACGCACTTCATTCAAAAGTCATCAGCCAGGCTGACAGAAGGAGGGACACGCCTAAATCGACTCCATATATCCTGAAACAGATTTGGTCCAAAGACACCTAAGGTCTAGAAACCTTATTTCGATGAGGAACGCTTGGACCATATGCCCCTTTTTGTGGGGCCCGAACGCCGTCCTGAATACGATTCTATTCCTTTGGTTTGTTTAGTTCCTCACAAAAAATATCCAATGTAGTTTCACGTTTTAGTATAGCCCCCATATTATGATTTCCATAATTTTAAAAGCTTCCATCCTAATTTCCAACCGTATCGGCTGTAGTATCATATTTCAATTTATTTATGTTTTTTTTTTTATATGTGATATATAACGGATTTTTAGAATTGCCATTTAGGCCATAAGTCAAGTTTTTACATAGTCGACCCAAGGGTACAGGATCGGGTAAAATAACAAAGATATCTTCTAGTTAATATCTTTGAAAAATATTTTGATGTCAAAAAAACTCATCTAAGATACTTCTTAATGTTTCGGAAAGTCAAAAAAAAATGTCATCTCATTGTACTTTTATTACATTTCGGAAAAGAGGGGATGAAATAGAACATGAAGGTATTCAAAATGTCAAAATGTTCTAAAAATTTAATCCTCAATCGATTCCCTCATTTTAGAATTAATCTACAGTCCTTAAGATACTCAACAAGGACATTTATTCCAAAAGGAATTTCCTTTCCTACTCTTCCCAAAAGTTTTGTTGCACTGTTGTGATGTAGGGTACCTCATTGTCAGATTCTCCCAGCTTTAGCCTCCTTCAGGAATTATTATTTGTTACCTATAATATGGATCTATAGCATGTACTAAAAAGAGCTATTGTAAATGTCAATGAATTCCTTCCGGAAATTATGGAAACGACTTCCATTTTGGAACCCAATCTCTTATTAATCGTCCAATATTTATTTGCATGCACCATCAATTGTAATCGTTCATTGACTTCATATTGCCGACAACAACAACTGGAACAGTTGTTTAAACACAATAATACCCTTTTGTATTAATAATTATTTCGATTAAATTTATATAAAACAATCTACATTTCATCAAACCCAAATTCAGTTAAAACTCAACGAAATAGCGATCAACAATATACACGAATTTTTCTCAAAACGAAATGGATAATTTCAAATTAAAATTATTGATTGGCGGTAAAAAATAATTAATTTTTTTTAATTTCTTTTATACCTTATTTTTCTTGCAGCTCTTTGCAGTTACCTTGACATGACCTCAAGTGCCTACATTCCACCAACGTTGGTAGTAACAACAATTCCGGAACCCTGTCCGGATCATATACTCATATTGGCCTATTTGATTATCACGGCTGTTATCATATTCGTCTCATTGGAGATATTCTTGACAATAATATCCAAAAGAAATAAGCAAACTAAGGAGATTCAATATACCTAAGGGAAATTCTTTTAATATAGATATGCAATTTTTAAAATTATAAATGTTATTAAGTTTAGTTTAAGAAAATCTGTAATTTACATAGACTTTAAATTGAAATATATTTAGTTATAACAAGTAAGCCGGCTGGGCCGAACTTTGAATACCCTCCACCTTTTGGAACGAATTTGGCGATTCTCAAAAATTAAATCCATAAAATCCATTAAAATAATATCATTAAAATACCGAATATACCGAAAATAGATGTACCGTTATATGGGGGCTATACGAAGACGTGGACCTGCACATACAATTTTCTGTCTTAAGCTGTAGTATCCATTACGAATTTCAAATACCAAATTTGAAACAATTCCGGTGAATAATGTCGCTAAAATCATCAAAATATCGGATGGACCTGCATAAACAATTTTCAGTCTTGGGCTGTAGTATCCATTACGAACATCAAATACTAAATTTAAAACAATTCCGGTGAATAGTTTCGCTAAAATCAACAAAGTACCGAATATTCGGAGGTATCGTTACATGGGGGCTATGTGAAGACGTAGACCGGCACAGACAATTTTCTGTCTTAGGCTGTAGTATCCATTTTGAACTTCAAATGCCGAATTTGAAACAATTCCGGTGTATAATGTCGCTAAAATCATCAAAATACCGAATATCGTGAGGTACCGTTATTTGGGGGCTATATGAAAACGTGGATCTACATGGCCCATTTACGTAACAAAACAAAATTTTAACCTTCTATCTCGATTCGTTCGAAAGACGTGATTACAAAAGACAGACGGACATCGCTAAATCGACTTAGAATTTTGCGCTGATCAAGAATATATATACTCTGTTGGTTCTGATATGAGTATTTCGAGGAGCTACAAACGGAATGACAAAGTTAATATACCCTCCATAGAATGGTGGAGGGCATAAAAAATAAGAAATTCACAATTCAGCGGGTGGATATTTAATGGATAGAAGAGCTCCCCACAATCAATCTATAAAACTGTGCAACATAAAAATTATTGCAGAAAATATCCAGCAGGTTCTGAAAATATTTTTTTATTTATCCAGCGAACTCTCTTTTGTTGTAGAGATCTAAATTGGTCCTCGGGTTACAAAAGGCCAGGTTGGATTCAAATTTGAGGTAGATTGTTAAACATAAACATCTAACGACATCCACGAGCCCAATGCGAACTATGTACGAATTGGTTTGCAAACAGGTAATTTCGATTACTGCAAAAAACAGTATAAACAGCGTACAAGAACAAACGATAGTACATGAGTACATATGAATTATTATTAATTTTTTTGTTACATAAATAACAAATTAAAATGTTTAAACTCACGACAACCTTGTATTCTGAAAAGAGCTCAGCGCCATCTTACATTTGTAAAATAAATTAATAACGTCAACTCTATGCACCAACCTCTACCGGCTTTTCTACACAAAGTACTGTACAAAACAAACGAATAAATAATGCTATCGATCTTTATGGCTCAGCCGATAACAAGACCATTGATAAGAACTTGTTTTAATTAGAAAATAAAAAAACAACACCAAAACAAACCACATGAGCTGCATAAAATGATACCGTCCGTCTACGGGTTAATGGCATGTTTTGATGATAAATTTTTTTTTCGATTTTGTCAGTCTATGCGAAGCTATATAAACAAACGCAGCTCGGAATAACCATCAAGTCTCAAGTGCTAATAAAAAAAATACAATAACAAAATGGAACAACCCAAATTCTTTTCCGCCGAACATGTTGCCAAAGTGTTGACATGGAATTTAGTGAATTCCGCCGTAGAAGAGGCCCTAAGAGCAACAGGGCCCACTGAAGCCAATCCTCAGGATACGGATGCCTCTTTCGCCATACAACCGACACGATCAGTGACCTCTTGTGGTGATAAATCAAAATTGCTGCTTACCATGCCAGGTTTTGTGGGCAACTACAATTTGAACGAGAAACGCACAAACACCCTTGCCTGCAAGGTGGTTACATCGTTTTCTGCAAATCAAAAATTGAGTCCACCTTTACCAAACATCTTGGCAAATATCTTACTCTTTAGCTCCGAAACGGGACAGTTGCAATGCGTTATGGATGGTACACAAATTACGGGATGGCGTACCGCCTCAGCATCATTGGCTGCAACCAAATATTTGTTTTTACATCTTTTTCCTGAGGGTACGGGTAAAGCGATTCGCGTTGCCATCATTGGCTGTGGTGTTCAGGGTCAGTCGCATGCAATGGGGATGTGTAAAACATTTAATGTTATCGATATTTATCTCTGGAATCGCACCAAATCGAAAGCCGATCAGCTGGGTGAGAAGTTGCGTGCAGAGTTTCCCAACTCTGTGAATGTTCATGTTGTTGAAACGCCTGAGGCGGCTTGCCGTGAAGCTGATGTCGTTTGTGTGGGGACCTATTCACCCACGGCTTTAATTAATTACAGCATGCTGAAACATGATAATGTGCATATTAATAGTAAGTATTATGAGTAGTAAAATATGGGTAGATAATATGGAAGGGGGATTCCATGGGTCACATTTTTTAATATTGTGGAACAATTTTAAATTGAGAATTCCTGAGAATATACGTTATTTTTTGGTTTCCAGCTGTTTTGATTAAAATATGATAATTTTCAAATAATGGATCTTTCGAAAGGTTTCCAAGAAAATTTAAAGAGAAATCAGAAAGGAAACCTCAAAGGTCAATCGCAGCTACACCACTATGCAAATTAAGTAGAGCTACCCGTAACAAATAACTGTTAATATTGAAAAATTATAACCTTTTAAGTTTGAAATGGGATAGAACTCATTAATATAGGAGAGGAATATTGTACTTTGCATCGAATTCCACAACATTCGACGGAGGTACAAATACCTCTCTTACCAAATACCATTACTATAGAGAGCATGACATGAGAAAGCTCAAATTAAAGATAAATATAATAGATACAGCTATATCTGAGCCGAAATTCAGTTGAATGTGCAAAAACCCATACTCCTGATAAATGTGAAAACTGATAAATATATACGTGGGATCTATATCCAAATCTGAACTGATCACTATAAAATTTGACAGAGGTATTTCTGAGCTCTATTTGATATTTCGCCCCGAATTTCGTTGTTATGGAGTGCATACTGAAACTGTGGGAGATTTTAATATCGAATCGAATGAAACATATTTGGGGCCTATAGCTATATCTGAACCGATTTTTATCAAAATTCATTACAATAAATTTAGACTGAAAAAATTAATAATTGTTAAAAATATAAATTCAATACTGATTTTTTTCTATTTTTAGCCGTTGGTGCGGGACAGGTTCACTTTGGTGAAGTTGCACAAGATATATACGATAATGGTGTCGTTTATGTCGATTCTCTGGTCAGTGCCAAAACTGAACTAAAAGACTTAAAGGCTAAAATTGTTGGAGAAGTGGGCGAGGTTATTCGCAACAAAGGTCAACGTAGTGAAAATAATCGTATCACCATTTTCCAATCGATGGGTATTGCTGCTGAAGACGCTACTGTGGCACAGGCGGTTTACGAGGCTTTGTGCAAATGAGAACGAACTATTGGCAAATATTAAATGGAACACATTGATTATAGAAATACAAGACAGTTTACATTTTTTAACATAAAATATTTAAAAGATTAAAAAATATATATTGCCACTAACTAGTAATATTTTCTTGGTAAACTCTTTCGAAAGAGTAAGATACTGTCCATTCATTTTTGTAATTCATTATGGTAAAATGTAAAAATAATTGAAATATGTTTCTCTGAAATGCCTTAAACCACTGTGTAAGATAACTCTCGAAGGGAGTTTCCGGTTTGGTCCAAATTATTATCAAACTGAGATCAAGTTCGCAGATGGGCAATATCGGTCCAATCCTTCTGGCACCTCCCCCACAAAATGTCAACATTTTCAAAAAAATATTTTACTGCATCAGTGCTAGGTCAGGTGCGAAAATGACAATTCGGTACACTCCATCAAGTACTTCCACCACAAAGGGTCAAAATTTTGAATAATTTTAACTCTTATAAAATGTGGTGTAAAAGTCCGCTTGCCTCTAAATGACACAGATGATAATATTTTTATTAACCCCCGGTCTGGTGTGAAGATTGGATATACCGGTCCAGTCCTTTTGGTACCTGCCCCACGAAGGGTCAACGTTTCGAATATCCATGAAGCTCATTAAACGTGAAATTATAATCCAATTCAATATATTTAGGACCGATGCGAAATGGAAAATATTGGCCCATTCCTTCGGAACCTACTCCATAAAGGGTGAGCAATTTGAATAATCATAACATAAGGCAAAAAAATTCAATAATCGAACATTGGATAAGGGTATATTTCTGTCGGCTAAACCGAATAATACTTTTGAACTTGTTTTCATTCCATTTGGCAGTTTCTTCGGAGGTAGAATTTCATCATGGTCTTCTTCTTCACTATAATAAAGTGAAACCTGCTTCGAATCAAATTCAGCTGGATTCAATAAAAACTCATTTTCGAAGTTCACAAAGATTCAGGTTTGAAATACTCCTATTTCACTATTTTCTCGAATAATTGATTTTGATTTGATGATTTTACACCTAGAGAATCATATATAATGAGGTCCATACACTTTTATTAAATAAAATCAACAATAATTGGATTTGGGATGACTGAACGTCTAAAGATAAACGACGATTGGCTGCTTTTTCCTTTATTCCTGATCCGTGACTTGTAGATGTGTTATATACTGCATAAACAGAACAGTTCATTTACTCAATTTACTCAATGAAATTGGCACAATCTACTTTATAATGGGTCAGCGAGATTTTTTTTAAAAAAACATCCGACATCCTACTCTTTGATTTTTTTGTGAAAAATTCGTTCCACATGCCTCCTCCTTCGAAGAAAAAATTGGCCAATTATGCCTCTGGACCAAAATCCGCACCAAAAACGATTAACTGTTTTGAGCACATTGGCTTTTCAATATGTGCGCCAAGTGCTACAAATTTGACGATGGTTTTCTTCTCTCAAAATCCGTACGCAATTTTCGCACAAATTCTGTTACATTACCATGACTTTCAAAATAATATCGAAATATTTCCCAGTGTTGTTCGAACATATACACAACCATATTCGTTCGGCGAAAGCGCATAAAGGTAATTATCTTTCATATCAGAAATGAGCTAAGTCTTACCATTCACGTAATAAACACCATTTAACAAAAAGTTCGATTGGGAAATCATCATATAATCATATATAGTGTTGTTGCTGCTATTTCCTTGTATCCTTCAATTAAAACTCCCATATTTTTTATTTTTAAATAATTTGTAAATTTTTTTATTTATGTCTTGATTTTTTGTTGTGTTTTTTTTTTTACTTTTTTGCTTTTTTATACTTTTTTTAAGTAAAATTTATTTTAATGCATTTTTTTGTTTTTCATTCATTAAATATTGGTATGGGGGACTTGTTTTAAGGGGGGGATTTTCAATATTTAGATTTGTTTTTTATTTTTTTTATTAATTTATATATGATAATCCTAGAGATTTTTTTGTTCTGTTTTACTTGGTTTTTCATCATTATTAATTATTTATGCATACATTTTTTTGTTTTCTTTTATTTTATTTATGTTTTGTGTTTTATACTAAACAATAATAATTTCAAAATTGAAATATAGTTTTTTTGCATTATTTGTTTTATATATATATTTTGTTGTTGTTTTTTTAATAGAGAGTATAGAGAAAAGTGGAGTGTGAGTGTTGTGTATTCAATGTATATTTTCATTTTTGAAATGTATTTGGGGGAGGGGGGTACACATCTTCGTGTTATTGTGGTAATGTTTCTTGCTTGGTAATATTTATTTTAATCATTATTTTTGTTTTAATTTAATATATATATATATTTGTTATCAATTTATGTACGACATATGCTAAAATTTGTTAATTTATTTTTTTTTTGTTTTTCATTGTTATTGTTTTTTTTATTTTTAAATATTAAATAATAACTATTTTGGGGGAGAAAGTTTTTTATGTTTATTTTTTTTATTTTTTATTGTGTTTTGTTTAATATGTATATATAATAATTTTATTCATTTTTATTGTGTTTTTTAATAATTTTAAATTATATATGTTTTTTATGTATAATAATAAAATACTCAACAAATATTTTTTTATTATTTATTTTATTTTAGCATTTTGTGTTTTTTTGGAAATAAAAAGAAATAAACTGAAAGTGGTAATTACACAAAGCAAGGATATTGAAATAAAAATAAATAATATCGGCTTTCAGGCTTTTATAGACAGAAGGCCCTTTAAAGTTTTTACAAAGATCGAAGTTCTTTTAAAGATAGAAGTTCCTTTAAAGATATGCTACAGACAGGAGACCCTTTAATAGGCCTTTAATAGATAGAAGACTCTTTAAAGATCTTCTATAGGCTGAAGAACTTTCAAAGGCCTTCTCTATATAGAAGACCCTATGAAGACATTCTGTAGATAAAAGACCGTTCTATAGATAGAGGACCCTTCAAAGGCCTTCTATAAATACAGGGTGAGATGAAAAAACTGCAACCAACTTAAGACTGCTGTCATTTCTAAGCCACTCGTCCGACAGTTGTTAAAATTATTACATTGTTTACAAGCGTAGAAAAGCAATTTGGTGAGAATTTTCCATTAAAAAAGTTATTCGTGATGGCAGCAACAGCGAAAGAAAAGAAGCGTCTTAATCGAAACCCGCGTGGCCAGTGGCCGAAAAATGGCTCGTGAGCTGAACATATCGCAATATTCCATTCGACAAATATTGAAAAATGAGCTCGGGGTAAAGACATTGAAATTCCAAAAAGTGCAAGAACTTACACCACAACAGAAAGAAAATAGATTCAAAAGAGCTAAAGAGTTGCTTCGCTTGCCCGAAAGTGGTGAAGTACCGAATTTGGCTCCGATGAGAAAACATTCGTTGTCCAGCAGTTTGTTAACAAACAAAATGATCGTGTTTACTTGAAAAAGGGATTGAAGGCCATAATTCGTGCCAAAGGTGACCAATCCGAACAAATCTAAACTTATTCTAAAATTTGATGCTATTTCCGACATTTTTTGCTTTCATTCGATATAATTTAAAAATAAAATAAAAATTATGGCGTTTGACTTTGTTGCAGTTTTTTATCTCACCTTGTAGAAGACCCTTCAAAGGCAAAAAGACATTAATCACATATTTCATTTCAATACAACCTCCATAGAGGCTACATAAAATGTTTTTTCCTACACATTCCTCTCTGCTAGCAAATAAATAAGTGAATAAAAGAAAACATTTAACAAAAATAAAAGGCATTATATTCAAAACAAAATTTTAAATTAAGAAAAATAATTATAAAGAAATCGAAAAAATTAGGAATCTTGGTAATAGACAAATAAAAAATAACATTTTGTAACTAAAATTATTTAGTAATGGTACAAATTTGTTTTTTATATAAATATATATTATACTTAATTATAAAATTAGTAAAACATACTTTTTGCAGGCTTAATTGTATTAAAAAAAGGAAATTTTTTGCATGATTTTTGTTTTGTTTTTCTTTAATATAACTTAAAAGAAAACCTAAAACTAAAATAATAATAATCATAAAATATATGAAACTAATTTAATTATAAAATCTAATCAATTGTTTATTGTTCTGTAAAGTTTTTTGTTGTTTTCTCTATTCATATCTATATATATATAAAGATGAGTTGCATTTATGTACAAAAGGACTGAGGGGGTAGAATTTTTATATTTAATTTTATTTTTTCTTTTAATTATTATTTTTTTAATTTAGCATTTTTTTGTAAAGCTAAACTTAAAACTCTATTATTTTCATTTTTGTTTTTCTCTTGCAATATATTACTAAACATTTTTGTTTATTTTTTTATAGGTTTCTTGTTTTCTCATATCATTTATTCATCAAAATCTTTTGTTTTTATTAATTTTGTAATTAGTATTTTTTGTTTCTTGCTGTTTGTTTTTCTTTTTTGGAATATTGAAGAACTAGTTTTTCTTTTGTGTTATTGTAATTTTTGTTAATTAATTTTTCCATATAAGCATACCAATTAACTTTTTTCTTTCTTGGATAAACCATCATGGCTGGGATATTTTTGTTTCTTTGTCAAAGAATGAATTTATGGATGGATGGTATTCGGATGAGAAGGATTTCTTGTTTTCATTGATCAATTTTCGTTGTTGGATTTGTGTGTGGGGGTGGAATTAAGAACACATACGGGAATTTGGGAATTGTAGAGTTTGGCGTTTAAATTTCATTTTAATTTGGCAATTGGAAAGTTATTGCGTATAAATGCTTTAACTGAATGTTGGAGTAAATTAAAATATTTTCATTATATAATTGTAATTTATGTCCTAGGTATATTTAATGAGGTCACACAGGAGACGAATTCAAAGCTAAGGATGGAAATACATAAACAGCATATTTGGCCGGCTTAAGTCATCAACAAAGGAGTTTTAGGCTGACTTAGTTCGATTTTGGCCCTAGGCTCCTTTATTCATTTACAGAGAAGCCAGCCGATGACTTAAGTCATCCAAATAAGCGCTTTATGTATTCCCACCTTAAGTCTTCTCTTGTTGTCATAAGTTTTTCAAAAATTAAGAAAACACAAACCAATATTTAACACATTTTTAATTTCATATAGTTTTTAAATATTTCTAATTAAAAAGTTGTGTACTTGACAGCAAAACAAGACAACAGGCGGTTGTCACCTTCTAAGTACACTTTGGCAATTACCTAAAATGGTAAAGACTACACAAAATGAGTTCTGAGAAAATGGTTTGTAGCTATGCTATCTAGAATAACAGGACATGGCAGAAGCATGTTAATATAAAAAACACAACTATAGAAAGGAATTATAAATAAAACTTCGAATAACCCAAATTTTGGGTTTAAAATTCTATTTCATAGACCTTCCCAATTAATTGCATATTGCCTTAGCTGTTTAAATCATTTAGCTATATTGATACGATATCATAACAACAGAGGTATTTGCTCCTGGTGACAATATTTTGGCTCTGACTTGTCTCATCTTTATAATTCTATGTCTTCGACCTTGGTCATGAAAAATGCAAACATAATTTATGTGTATATCACTACATCGAGAGTAATCAGATTGTTCATGTTGAAGCAAATTTACTGCAGCATTTAAAATATATTAAAAAACGCTTTTAATTGTAATCTAGAAAATACAGGTGGGTTAACTATAACAATAAGAGCAAGGTAAAAACAAATATTTATAGAATGCCAACAACTTAATTTTGAAATTGGAAATAGAACCAAGTGTTAAAATGTGACAAAACGGAAAATACAAAAAAACACATCTGCGGATTCAATTATTTTTCCAAATAACCTGAAGTTTTTCAGTTTGAAATTGAGACTATTTTAAAAATTGTGTGGGTTTGAGGTGAAACAACCTGGGTGAAAGATTCTTGCATTTGATTGAAATGGATTTCTATTTGTGAATTTTATATTGAAAGAACTGGAGTTTATTTCGATCGGATTCGATTTTTTAGTGATTTAATCAAGATATCTTCTTTGCTCTAATTAATTAATATCTTCAATTTCATATTTAATAAAAGAGATTAGTTTGAGATATAATAATTCAATCTATGGCAAGTCTAAATGATTTCTATCACATACCTCTGGGTTTCACACATGCTCAAAAATATCCCATATGTGTAAGAAACTCTAGGCCAAATTCGAAAACATTTCGTTCTAAACGAATTTGGATATGTACATATCAGCTTGAATTAATTGAAACTTCTGTAGAAACGAATATAAAGATGGTGCATTTACAAGGGATTCTTTTTTGAGTTATCGTCAAAACCCCAAAAAAAGTTGATAATATTGGTATCTATCGGTAGGTCTTAGCGGCTACTTTGATTTCGTCGCTAACTTAACGACAAATTTCGTTAATTACCTAAATTATATGCATTTTAATTTTACCGACTTTTGTCGATAACTCAATACATGCTTAAAAGAATTCGACTACTGGTCTATTCGGTTGCATGTTATTTTGCCTTTTATGTACGGACTTTGGACATCACCATTCTACGGACGCATCTTACACATATTCTTCGAATATTTTCTTGAAATTTTTCAATTTAGTTCTACAAGTTTTTGAATATTAGAAATGTATTGGAGTTGTCACAAGCAGCACAATTCATAATAAGCTGAAATCAAAATATTATGGATATGGAAATACGGACGCATCAAAGTTATAAACATACAGAAACTTATTTCGATCGAAATTTTTTGATAGCGAATGCAAATATTTGGCCCCTGATACCGCCAGAACTAACCAACAAAAAAAAAACGAAAAAATAATGTTTTTTGTTTAATATTTTACCAAATAACTTACAACTGATTTTATTTACAAAAAATTATTAATGGTTGATTTTTGTTGTGTGGTAATTGTTTTTTTTTTTTTTTGTTTTCTTTTTTTATAAATCACTTAGTAATAGTATAGTGTAATGTTTTAGGACTTATATTCATTGTTTCTTTTTTTCTACCTTTTTTCGTTTGCAGTTGTTTTCTTTCTGTTTTTTCTCTTAGGGGAAGGGAATAAAATTCTAAATTACAATTAAAAACATTCTATTCGTTTAGAAACTTAAAATATAACGTTTACATGAATTATAATAATAATAATAATAATAAGTATAAGAAATAAAAATAAAAAAATCATAATTTTAATTTATAATAATAATAGTAAATGTGAATTGAACATACTAGTTCAATAATAAAAAAAAATAATTTATAAAATTTCTGCGGTGCATTTATCACTCACTCTCACTAGCTTCAATGCCCTGCCGTGCAGGGTATTAAAAGCTAGCCAAAGTTAAAACGAAACCTACTGCCATTTCTGGAAGGAGTTTAGAGGGGGAGGTCTGGGGGGATAATAGGGGAAAGAGGGTCGTGTTGATAGAAAAGTTGTATTTTTGATTGTGGTTTTTATTTTTTTCATTATAATTTTCTGTTATAATTTAGATAATTATGTTAAGAGAAGGAGAGAATGTGGTTTGTTTGTATTTCTTGTCTTGTAATTTGTGTTGTTTCTTAACAGTTTTGCTTGTTTGTTTTTGTTTTTCGGGGGATTTTTCTAAGCAGTTTTTCTTAAACGGATGTTTGTTGCCATATTTTTTGTTTTGTTTTCTTTCATATATTATATCTAAAGATTATAATAATTATATTATATATGTGTGTGTTTATAATTAATTATTTTTAAAAGGTAGGCTTAAATTTACCATTACTATTTTTTGTTTTGTTTTTAAACTTAATTTTTGCTCATCCATATTTCTTTTTTTCTTTATATGTATATACTTTTTCTCAGAGAATATTTTTTAGTTTATTTTTCATTCTTTTTTCCATAACAAAGTTTCTTAAACAATTTTATTTTTTTAAATTAGTTTTGTTTTTGCTGCTGGTTCTTCTAAGTATATATTCTTTTTCTTTAGTTTTCTTATCCACAGAAATTTTCATTAAATGTCTTGCTTATTTTTTTGCGTTTCATCAAAACTTTCACATTATCCTTGTAGGCTAAAAATTTTGTTTTTGTTTTCTTCTTTTGTTTCTAACTTACAATTAAAAAATTCTTTCGCAGTTGGTTGGTTTTATGTGTGTTAAAAATGAATCACCATGTTTTTTCTTTGGGTCCAAAAGAATTTTTTTCCGCCATAATTTTTGTGCGAATGTGGTGGCCTGGTTGATCAAAAAGCCTTAAATTTCATTTTAGTTAAATATAAATACAAATCTATATATTGCTGTCATCAAGAATTAATTTAAATTAAACGAAATTTAGTTGTCTAAGAGAGCTAATTCCCAACAAAGTCGATATCTTGGGGGTTTATAAAAAATTTAGGCAAATTTTTTCATTATCGAATTTGGGAATGAACCCCTTTCATTTACACACAGAATGGGGTCATAAAATGATGTCATTTTTTATGAAAATTCTGAAATTAATTCCCGAGTTCTTTTTATGGAAGTTACCGTATTAGAATTGAATTTAAACAATCAACTATTTTATTGACAGCTTCGTAAAATATATCAAATCGAAAGTTCCATTATGTGCCACAAATATTGAACTGGCGGCGAAACATCACCAACGAGTTCAGACAACTTGGGGATAGTGGAAATTTAAATCGTGGTACTTGAAAAAAAAAAATCATGCGGAGGCGATAGTAAACAATACTGGAATGTTTTTCTAAAATTACATCATTTTAAGTCTAAATGAAATTGGAGACACACGTTCGAAAATATAACTTTTGTATTGTTATAATCATCAAAAGGAATATAGGAAAGGAATCATATCCGCCGTAGTGTTTTGAGAAATAGATTTTAAATGCGAGACTTTTTGGGAACTCTAAAGCATAATGAAACACAATTATGACATGTTTAAGTGTAGGTAAATTATTACACAAAGGCTTTACAAAAAAATCACCAGCTACCACCACCCCTCACACAAGAGCCGAGCCGAGTCGAGCCACACCCAATGCTCTGGCTGTGGCTAGCCTAAGATTTCTATAACAACACCCCACACTTAACTTAAATTTTACGCTTCGCTATGCATTTTTTGTTGTTGTTGTTGTTGTTCAAGTAGGGAAAGATGAAATCTATTCTGGCAAACGGCAGTGTATAAGTTTTTCTTAAGTTAATTTCCTTCTCTCAATCTGCAGAGAAAGAAAGAGGGAGCCGGGGGCGTGGGGCGAGTGGGGGATTATTTTCAGCGGCGTTGTATTTTTTCTTTTGTTCGACTCTTTTTTCCCTAAGAAAATGTTAGCATTTTATGTTGTTGCTGTTGTTGTTTGTTTTGACGGCATTGCTGTTGCATTGTTGTTATAGAATGCTGCTGTTGTTGCTGGCTGCGAAAACTTCTTGTGCCAACATATCCGCCGCCAACACCGCTGCCATTGTTAACTGCACCACCAGTCGTAGTTGGGGTGGGCAGCATTGTTGTCGATGTTGTATGCGGTGTTGAGGATGAAGAGGAGCTAGCTGCTGTGGCATTCGTTCTTCTTGTATGATGGTGATGATGATGTTGTTGTGGCTGCTGCTGCTGTTGTTGTTGGTTTATTATATTGTGATGAGACGACATTCTTGGAGCAGAATGATGGTTTATATTCAGATTCTGATTTATTAAGCTATGTTGATTTTGATGTCTAACATGATGTTGTTTATGATTATTATTATTATTACTGTTGTTGTTGTTGGTACTATGATGATCCGGCTGTAATGCTGCTTGTTGTTGCTGATATTGATGTTGGTGATGATTGTTGTGGCCAATATTGTGGTTGTTGTTGTTGTGGTTATGATTGATATTAGTGCTATTACTTTGTATTAACTTTAACAATTATGAATTGGAATTACGTTTAGTGTGCAGCTAGGACGAACTCGATTGATTCAAATTGCCAAACATGCCCGCTGAGAAAGAAGTCTGTCCGGCAGAATTGGCTTGATTACCTGATGATTGCTGTTGCTGCTGTTGTTGTTGCTGCTGCTGCTGTTGTTGCTGCTGTTGCTGTGTCAGCGATTGGCCACGGCCATGCTTTGGAATGGGAGGTTGTATGTATTCGTGCCGCGCCAGCGCAAATACATCCATGCGATCTTCTTTGCGATAAGCCAAACATCCTCTAATAAAACTCTGTACAAATATAAATACAAGAAAAATGATTAAAGGGACTTTCTCTCAATATAGAAATGCATTCTGCATCCTACCTTTGCTTCATTGGATACTGTTGGTTTTGTGGAGAATTGTACTTCTGTGGCTTTCAATATGGTATTCTCCTCTAATATGGTGGCTTGAGATTGATTATGGCCAAATGGTTTCTTGCCATATAAACATTGATAGAAAATTACACCCACGCTCCATACATCGACTTTAGATGAGATTTTTGGTGGATTTTTACCCACAACAAAACATTCGGGAGGCAAGTACCTAAATAATTAAACAAACAAAAAATTAAAAATAAAATCCTTGATAACTCCAATATCATCATCATGCTTACCAATATGTTCCTGCTCCCTGCGATGTCAGATCCATGCCATGATCAGGATTGTAATTTTCATCATCCATAACTTTGGATAAACCAAAATCTGTTATTTTGATTTCGCCGCACACATTGCCCTCGGTCAATAGAATATTACCCGGTTTCAAATCGTAGTGGATAACCGGTGGTTTAATCTCATTCAAATATTTTAAAGCAGAAACAACCTTAAAATGAAATAGTTTAAGGGATTAGTAAAATATAATCATCACGGTGATTCAAAAAGTCTGTACATACCTGCATTATAATGGAACGTGCTTCACGTTCTGGTATCGTTTTGTGTTGCTTTAGATAGAAATCTAAATCATGACCATCACAATATTCTAAAACTGTACAGAACGAGTTCGCATCGATTTCAAAGACATCATATAATTTAACCACTCTGGGATGATCAAGGGCCTTGTGAATGTTGTATTCTCTTAAAGCATGCCTATAAAGAAAATTAAATTATTAAACAATGATTCTCCATCGCTTTCAAATTTTACTACTAAGATCTGACTAGTTCTATAAAAAGAGCTACACATAGTGCATTCTTTCATAATGTAAATTAAACCTAGTAACTGGTGCGTATATAAAAGGCATAAATATAGATCTCTTGACTTCAAAATCAGTGTATAAAATTAACCTTAATAATTAATAATTTTAGCTTTTTTATAACCCTCCCTTCAATATTTGTATCTAGTCCCATTTGTCAAATCCAAATCGGAGTCATAACACAATATTTTATTACACAGCGCCCTCCCTTCACCAAACTGCAAACCCCCACCTAATAAGAAATTTGCCACATCTCGCTTACTTGATATAATTGGCCTTCTTATCTTCTTTCCAGTCCTTATTCAGCTGATGAACTTTACATGCAACATAGCGTTGTTCCTTCAAATCAAATGCCTTATGGACTTCAGAGAAACCGCCTTTTCCCAAGAGCATCAGCAGTAGATAACGGTCATTCAATACTGGGTGATTATTGAAGCGGGACTGTAAATAAAAAAACAAACACAAATTAAATTACTGCGTGCCACAACGAGGCCACACTCAATAGCACATACCTGGTCTTCATTCAAGATACGTTTCAATTCACGTATATGCAAATTACGTTCACGCTCCAGTTTTTCCATTTCCAACTGGAGATCGGCATCTTCTTTTTTGAGAGCGTTTTGGCGTAACTTAAGAATCTCATCGTATTCGTAGTATTCTTGAGCGGTGTAGACGCCTGATACGGGATCAGGTTTAAGGAACGTTGCTGAATCGGAACCACTGCCAGAATTGTCTCCTCGTCCCGAACCACCGCCACCACCACGATCCGATAAACGATCAGAACCCATGCCAGTACCGCTGGTACCACTGCCGCCATTGTGTAACAGTTGGTTTTGAGCTTGTGTCGAATTTGATCGCGATAGACCACGACCACTGCCGCCACCTCCGCCAGTTGCCGAGGAGACGCCACTGATGCCGCTATCGTTGCCCGATAGACGATCACATCCTGCGTTCATGTTGGAGGAATCATTGGAATTGGAATTCTGCTGGCTATTATTGTTACGCTTGCGACCAGATTCGGCAGGCCGTTTCTTCATTAGTTGCTTCTTTTGACGATCGATTTCCTCACGTTCAGCGGAGATTTCTTCTTGTCGTCGATTCAACTCCTGGAAGGCATAGCCGTCGGTCCAGTTTTCCTGGAATGTAGCACCTACACGCTGTGTAACGAACTGGCCCAGCCGCAGTCGGTTCTGCATGCACTTCTGGCGAGCCTCCTTCTTCTCAATGCTGGATTTCTCCTTAAGCAGCTTCTTGACCACATCAATACACTTGGCTATGTGGGATTTGTGTTGATCGATTAGTTTTTGATGAGCAATAATTTGACATTTTTGTTCATCAGACAGTCTTGTCATCTCATCCAATTTTGATTTGCTGGATTCACTCTCCGACTCACGTTCTTGCATGTCGTGTTGGGAGAGATCGGTTTGAGTTCCTTTGGTAACCATCGTTGTCGAGGGTTGTGGCTGTGGCGCTCCACTAACGCCAACGGTTTGTGGTACACCACCTGGATTGTTGGTGAGCATGCCGGCATGTTGCAGTGAATTGAGTTGGGCGGCCGCTACAGCGGCCATTTGTTGTTGCTGCGAGGTTGTCATTGTCTGTTGCACGTTTGTGGCAACGACGGAAGAGGCGGGAAGTTGAAGAGTTTGCTGTTGTTGCTGCTGTGGCAACGGTGGAGGAGGAGGCCCAGTACCCGCACCACCACCGGCGCCAGCTGTTGGTGCACCACCCATCAAGGAACCACCCGCAGCTTGATTGTGTACCATGTGGGAGGACGATATTAGACCAACATTACCGCCCACTCCAACAAGGGGTGATTGCGGAGGAACCATTGCATTGGAAGTTTGCTGTTGTCTCTGCTGCTTACCCGTTACCGAGTTGGCAGCCGCTACACTACTGTAATGGAAATCTGGAGGCGGGGGTTGTGACGTAGGTGTTGGCGGCATACCGCCTGGTGCTGAAATTTGTGGTTGCTGTGGACTAGGTGGATACATGGGATACGTGCTATTACCGCCGCCTACAGATGTTGGCACTTGTTGGGCCTGGGGCCCAGGTTGCTGCTGCGACTGCTGTTGTTGCGGGCCAGCCGATGAGGGACTCTTGGAGCCGCCGCCAGCTGTATGCCTCATAGGACTATTAGTGGATCCTGTGGACTGTACACTGTGCTTAGCATTGAAATAGTCATTGATCTTTTTGTTATCGCCTAAGGAGCCTCCGCTACCAGGTGGTAGGAGACGAGGTGTCTTGCCACCGCCAGAGCCAACACCGGAGCCTGGCATTTGAAGACGATCCTGTTGAGCACCTAAATTTAGAGATAAATTGTTTTTTAATAACTGTGAGCCAGAAGATGAGGAGGAATTGTTGTGTTTAGTTGATTTACTAGCGTTGCTTGAATTATTACCTCCATTGCCGCCACCAGGACCGCCGCCACCGCCTCCACCAGCGGCACCACCACTGTCGTCTGTATGCAAAGCGGTTATTTTCCGTTTACGTTTTCGTTCTGTGGGCGTGCGTGATAGCTTTTCCATACGTCCAGTATTTGTGCTACCGACGACACCGCCTGCACTGCCAGCACCACCGCCAGCACTGCCAACTGTCTGTGGCTGATGGGATAGCTGATGTGGAAGATGATGATTTGTGGTTTGCATGGCGTTTGGATCTGTTGATATACCCATACCGCCGGCACCGGTATTCATCATACCGTTTCCAGCTGTTGATACTGTTACGTTTGTTTGCTGCTGCTGCTGTTGATGTTGCAAAATACCGATTTGTTGTTGCAAGATACCGCTTGACTGTTGCTGCGCACTTAGCATGTCTGAATTAACAACATCTTTTTCACTGTGCGAAGAGCCAGTGCTCATATTCGAGTCAGGATTACTGCTGTGGCCACCACCACTGTGCTGTTGCTGCTGATGCAGCAGTAGATGCTGTGAATGTGTCTGCTGCTGCTGTTGCAGTTGAGAAGCCGTTTGTTGTTGCGATGTTGGTGTTTGTAGGTGGTGATGTTGTTGGAGATGTGTATGGGGAGTTGTGGCAAGTGTTTGGGGCGCTTGGCTGTAATGAGTTATGTGTTGTTGCTGCAATTGTAATTGCTGCTGCTGTTGTTGTTGTGATTGTTGTTGCTGCTGCTGTATTAATTGCGGCTGTTGTTGTTGAACCTGTGACAAAAGTGCCTGCTGCGATTGCTGTTGCTGCTGTGAATTATGAACAAAATGTTGTTGCTGTTGTGTTGTATGATGGCTTATGGACGTCGATGTCTGTGGGGCCATCTGCAATTGAGCGCCGGCGGACATCTGCAAATAAAAAAGGGGAAAACAAAGTTGTAATTAGTATTGTTATTTGCATAATATTCCAAACTGTTGTAAACAAAATAATTAGCTTATATAAGGATCATGATTTTATTCAATTCGAAAATCTTCACCTACAACATGTCAAAGAAAAAAAAACATGGAGTGGTTATCTTTAAACCCAAGTTAGTTTTGGCCCCCCATTACGACACGTTACAATTGTCACTAATCATAGCCTAGTCACATAACAATGACAGCAAAGAGTTGAACAGCTGATACGTTACATACGACAGACAGCACGTAGTGCACTAATTGCAGTTGTAATTACTCGCACTTTGCGATAAGATTTTATTTAATCAATGACCAATAAATTGTTGAAATAATTTATGTAGGTGGTTGGTATTGCTTATAAAGTTTCACACCTATTTGAAATTTAAAATAATAACAGCTTAAAATCAGATTTGAAATCACTCGACGAACAAAAATGATGTCGCCCAACTTTCTTCAAGGAATATTCGGCATGGATGGAGGTAGGCATTCATAAGAAACAATTTTGAAGGGAAACCCAAACCCGACGTGTTGTACTAAAATACCTACGACCAAGATTTTTTATTCACACAATCCAAGAAAAAGATTCAATGAATTTTTAAGGGTGGAATCTTAAAAACACAAAGTGATTCTTTGACTACTTCGAGTTTGACATACTTATATACTCCACATCGCACATACAACACGCAATACATAGGCGACTGACTATGTAAAAGTAAAGCAAAAGTATGTATGTATAATTAAAAGCATTTATAATCAAGAACAACGCAAGAAGACAGAGGAAGGAAAGAGAAAACTAATCATCAAATGTCTTATTCGGATTATAGGTGGTAATTGTCAAAAGTAAAAAAAAACACAACATTTTTAAATAATTAAAACACAATTATTTTTAGCAACAATTAACACAACTCACATCTTTTAAACATCATTGTCATTGTAATTTTGTTGTCGTTATCCTTTTAGGCTAAGGTCAATCAAGTAGTCACAAGTTTTAATAATTCCATTAATTTCTTCTTTCACAATTACTTTTTTTTGTCTTATTTGTCAAAATTCTTCCTCCTCTTTTGTATTACTACTACACATTTGTTGTTACTTTTCTTTAGATTTCAATGGGGAAGAAGATGACGGCGATGATGATGGAACAGCTGTCGTTGGTTTATTCTGTATTAAATGACAGAGACGTCGAACACCAATCTCTGTGAGCACACAGCAAAAAAAAAGAGAAAGAGTTAACACTACTCTGTCACACACACGCACGCACACACAGCTACTCAATGATTATGTCAAAATTGTCAAATTGCCAGTGTTGTAAAATGTTTCATTTAAAATCGTTGTTGTTCGTCGTTCACACACAACACATCACGACGAAAGCAAGCAATAAACGAACGAATGAACACACAAGGAGAAGAAACAAAATACAGAAAACACAACAATCAAAACAGAGAACAAGAAGAAAACACTGAAAAAATATACAGAGTAGACGACGACAACAGAGCACTAAACTGGCATAAAATAAACGAAGAAGAATACGGCGATTTTTTTCTTTTAAATACGCACAAACACACACAGCCGGCCGAAGAGTGTGCTAAACCCATACTAAAGTGAATTTACTCGTGCAGGCATACTATTGTTGTTGTTGTTGTTGTTGCTGCTGCCGCTGTCATATCCTCGGTGCACACACACGCGTAGTCTTTGAAAAAATCCGCGAATAAACACGAAATGTCTGTAGAATCGACAGGCAGTCGGTCGGTTGGTTGGGCGACCAGTCGTTTAGTCCGGCGATTACGTAGCTGTGCTGTTTTGCCATTTACAAAGCAGTAGTGGGGGAACAAAAAGAAGAAGCAGAAATGGCAGTAGAGAAAAAAGTTTAAGAGATTTGCATGAAGTATAGACTGTCGGTTAAATATGGCTGGGGCACAAAAAAAAAAGAAGACGGCGGTGGCGACGACGACGACGACGACAAAACAACGAATACAAGACACAAAATAAATACGGGCAAAATAACAAAGCAGGCACGAGAAAAAATAAAAATGGCTACCACGAAGGGAGAAACAACGATACAAACTATAGACTATTGTGATTAATTTCTATTTGCACAAAACAAAAATCAAATTTTCAATTAATTTTCGCTTGCTTTTTCACCAAAATACATTCAAGCATTATTTCCACTTGACGAGAAATTTTACCGTCACTCACACACTTCCGTTTTAATTTTGAAAACTCTGTGTTTTTTATATTAATTTCCTTAATTTTTTTAGTTTAACTTTCTTTTTTGTTTTATAAAAAGATTATATGTTTTTAAACACACATACACTCATACAATTTGCTATGCGAATTAAATACTTTTTTGCAAATTTGTTTTTTTTGCGTTTTTTTATCTTTTCCTAACCTACCGATGACTGTCAAAACGACATTTGCTCTATGTGATTTGTGTGTGAGTATCAAGCGACAGGGATAGAGCATGGGTGTGTGTGTGTGTATGGGAGTTAAAACACTGCCGAGAGTTGCGGAAAAATACTTTTTTTCTTTCTTATTCAAATTTTTTGGCTTTGTTGTTTGCTTCGACTTGATTTAAGATTTTTTGCAATATTTATGAATGTTGAAACAAAAAAAACTAAAATTGATTATTTCATTTTCTTTGTCAATCACCGTCACCATCATCGCCGTTCTTGTTTTGTTTTTGTTCATTTTGGGGCGAAATAAAAATTGTCTTTGGGAGAGAATATGCCTGGGTGTTTGTGTGTGTGCCACTGAATTGAGAAAAAACTCAGTAAATTAAATTAATGAATTTTTTCCATTCTCCAATTTCTTTTTTTTTTTTTTTTGCAATAATTATTTAAAATTTGTAATTTATTAAACACTTTGCAACACTGGCCGCGATCATTAATCTTTTATATTAAGGTATTTCATTAAATAAAATTACTTTTCACTGCATTTTCTTCTTTTTACTTTTTTTTTGTTAATTACAACAATTTCTGTAGTTGAAAGCAAAAAAGAAAAACTGTATGGATATTTTAACGAAAAAAACTTGTCTTGTTCCGCGAGACGTTGATAATGTTAAAAGGAAGGAAGAGAAATATTTTATACGCCAATAAATGGTCTCATGATGGTGGTGGTGTGTTGTTGTCTCATCGTGCTGCTGCCTGCTTGCTAGCTGGCTGTTCGCAACGTCATTGTAGAAAACATACCGACATACATACCATACCATACATGCATAAGAGCACTCATGAGCGAGGGAGCAAAGAATGTGTGTGTATGTATCTTTTGCCAAATGCCTACTACTCTTGGTGTGAATGTATGTTTGAATAGAGTAAGTAGCAACAACAACAGAACAACCAGAGAAAAAAAACAACGAATATCATTCAAACAATGGGTTGCCGTGTTTTACAAAATAATCAAAAACAAAATCCTCTTGAAAAACGAATCAAGCAGCACACAACAAGAAGAAAAAACATGGGGAACAATTTTATATCAAGTCCCAAGTGCGCTTTGATGCCTAATTTACTTCTCTTAAATGTTTACAACAACAACACATTTCCAAAAGGGGGGCTGCTGCTGCCGCCTTCTCTGTGGGCTGTTCTTTCTCTCTTCCGTTATGCCCAAAATTATGCCATTCTCTCAACACTAGAGTGGCAGGCAAAACATTGCAATTTCTTTTTTGCCTCTCTCGCCGCTCTGTGTATTGTACTCTTAATAATGTTTTGGGTGTTTTTTTCTGTTGTTGCTGTTGTTCGTTTGTTTGTTCGGTTACAGAGAATATGCGCTGCTTTGACGATATAACAAGATAAGGTGTTAAATTAACAGATGTTAGGTCAATGAGGTGTATCATTTGACTGTCTTATTTATTATTCAAAACACAGTGGGACATTTATGGTTGGCATTTAACAGAGATGGTGGTTGAGTTTACATTGGGTTAAATCGTTTAACATTCACATGTAGATATTAAAGTGGTATTATTTTCTTCTTTGCTGTGGCGATGTAATTAATGTGGTTAAGAGATAATAAAATTTAACAGAAATGAAAAAAAAAAAAATGTCAAGGCATTGGAGATGAAATAAAACCGAGAAGGAATGGATTATTGTACCGGAAAATTACAAATAAGTGGGAAAGGGATTGGGGTTCTTCGGGTGAAGAAAAAATAATTTTTCCTGTAAAAAAATGTTAGGCTTTTTCTGGCAGACAACAAAGCCAATTAATATGTTTATATTTATTTTTAGATATGAGATTATGATTAACAAGCATTTAAATGGAATGGGAAATGTTTTTTCCCCTGTAACTTTTTTCTCCAAATTCTATACTGAATAGGTAGTTGGTAACGTAACACAAATTGAAAATGGATGGATGGATGTCCAATTACGATTTCATGAAAAAAATCTATGGTAGGTTTAGAAAGGGGTATAAAAATAAGAAATAATTACAATAATAAATGAGACGACCAAAGAGAATTTTCTCCTTTATTTCAACCAAAGAAATAAATTCTGGATGTGGTTGCAAATAATTCCAACTAATAATGGTGGAAAAAAATTGAAAGAAGAAAAAATTCTGTACACGATGCAGCAAGAGAGAATACATTTTTTTCTGTATGTTGTAGGTATGTATGTACCTACCTATTCACAGAAAAAATTAGGTCATCAAACAACGAAGCGTTTACATAAAAGCCAAAAAATTCATCTCATTCAGACGACAGCAGCAAAAAGTAGAAACGAAAACATGCATGCCAGCCAACCCATAGAATTCGTTTAATTTCAAATAGATTTTCCCCTCAATTTGACAGTCTGACCATTAATATATACCCACATACCAGCCAACCAACCAACAAACATTGGAACAGATCTGCTGGCATTAAAACTATTTTCAACACATTAAAGAAATAATGAATTATCGACATTTTTCAGAGTCTGACTGACGTCCATCCACCATCCCCGTCCGTCCCCGAGTGCTTCCCACATTCTCTCAACGCCAAATTATTTCCGTTTTCACCACACCCCCACACACACACATCAAATCAAGTACCCAACAGCATACACACAATGACACTTGAGAATCAGCTATTTTTCATAGCACCTAACCTAACTCTAAGCGAAGAGCAGAATCGGCAGCATAATAGTTCAAATACAACGCACAATCGGTTTGGTACATGGCAGCCAACACAAAATACAGAAGATGCAAAACCCAACAACAGCACCATCACAACGACGGCCAGAAAACCAACCGTCGCCTCGTCTCGCTCGCGTTATGGACTTTTTGCAGACCTTACAATCCGCCGAACCTATTGAAATGGACCGACTGCTAGCTGCTGAATCAAATAATCCACAACACACAGCGTGTTGAGAATAGGTACCTAGTAGTCAATTGACAAAACTGGGGGGGCACAGGCAGGCAGCAACATAATCATCAACAACATCAACCAAACAAAGCGACAAGCAACACACATCCATCCAATAGGCAGCAGGCATGCGGCCCCTGTAGGTGTATGCAATGAAAAAGAGAGCAAAACTTAAAATGCAAGTCAGACAACCGAATGAACGACGAACAAACGCCTGTCCAACCAACCGACCGCATGTGCATGCCTGCCAGTGTGACCGCTGGAAATTTCCAAAAAGTATCACAAAAAGTATCATTTCTTGAAAAAAGTGGTACATATCATTTTAAATGGTGGCACAGAAAGTGGCACAATTTATTTCACATTTTATTTAAAATATAACAGTTTAAAACAAAACAACAAATTCATCTATATAGTAATAATATATGTATGACATATAATAATATAATACAAAATTTGAAATAATTCCGGTAAATAATGCAGCTAAAATCAACAAAATACTGTATATCGGGGGTACCGTAATATGGGGGCTATACGAAGACGTGTACCTGCACGAACAATTTTCTGTCACAGGCTGTAATATTTCCAGAAATAAACAAACAGAAGAATGTTGACAACTTTGAGCATGCGAAAACCACTTACAAACACCTAATATAAGAGCGTTCGCTCTAAAATTTGCTATCGCAAATTGGAAATTGCAGCGTACGACGCTTTTCATTGTTTCATTTCATTTCATTGTTTTAGATACAGCGTTTAGATTAAAATATATGTAGTTTAAAAAAAGGTGGCACAATGTTTAAAAAAGTGGCACAAAAATTCAAAAAAGTGGCTCATTTAGGATCAAAATAAAAAAGTGGCACAAAGGTATCAAAG